GGCGAACGCTAGTATTACATACAGTGTAACTATGTAGATTATTTCTGTATAGAATATACGTAAACGTGTAACAAAACAAATGAAAGGCAAATTGTATTTAACTAAAGGACAGTATTAGAAACAAGTTTCAACGTACAGAATATATTAGTAATCGCGCTTTAAAATATTATTCGTAACACATTTAATGTGTCAGTATTATTTAAAAATATCGTGTACTGTTATGAAAATAGTCCACGTTGAATTAAATTATTTTCTTCTATTCTAATGTAGACTCATTTGATACGCAATATTCAACAAGCAGGATGAGTAATCGACAATGTCTATTGAAAGGAGGGAAGGAAAAAATCGCAAGTTCTACAGTACCATTCAAAAGTTACGGTGGCTCGCTGTTTTACATATCGTCTCATGCAACACATATTTAACTATCAACGAGAGGTATAGAATCTCTGGAAAAGGGACATCCCTACGCACTTACGCTTGTTACCGCATATGTATTTTAGTAATAGCTATTTTACCCAACAGTGGACATATATCGCAGTACATGAATTCGCAGCTAACCTCCAACCGCTGTTAAGTTTGAATATTGTAATAACAGTCGTTCTCGCACTACCCAGTCAGGGCGGTTGTATGACTCATCCCAATACGTTGGGATTCACTGAACGTTGGAGTTTTTATAAGATCACGCACCGGACGTCATATGCAAGTCACGGTTCGTTTGTAACCTTGTAATTATTAAGTAACCTCGATTAGTGACAATTTAACTTCCTAACAATGATAGGTTAGTTATTGTAAGGTAGAATTTTTCCCTGTAAAGTAATTCCAAGTTCGTGTAGACACTGCTACAAAATAAAACAAAACGTTGAACATTGGCAATTTCCTTAATTTATTTCATCTTTTGTACTTAACACCTATCCAAAGTGATATCTCTATAACCTATCTTGGTTGACTGTGATCTAGAATATTAAGGTCCCTGAGATAAGATAAAATGTCCTGTAAAGGTAAATTCTTCCAGTTCATCGTACAATTCAATAAAAAATTCAAGCAGCATTTCGATAAAAAATTGCAACAGTTGTATCCGACGATAAAAGGATGGAGAAATTAAATCAAGGCTACTTCCGCTCTTCAATGCAGTAATAGTAAAATTTCACATTATCTTATTAACACACACTTCTTTGTTGCCTAAGCTGTCAGCAATCACAGCATATTTTTGAATAATTATTTTTTTTTATAAAAAGCCTTACACTTGCGTCATTTTTTTAATAAAAAGCGTCACGCTTTAGGCTACATATTTTAACGCCGTTAAACTTAGGGGGTAAATATTTTGGATAAAAACCCTAATGTAGGAAAGAGACCATAAGTCGCTGCCAACATCAAGGAAGCAAGGTTGTCGTCATGTCATGTCATTTTGACATTTGCTATTGATAATTTGACAAATGTAAACAATGAAATAAAATTTTCATAATTTCATGCGAATGAAGCCGCACGGCAACCGCTAGTTTTGAATATTAATGTATAACAGATTTGGTTTATATTTTAGCTACTTAAGTTATAGGTAATTGTTACAATGGGTGCATAAACAACCCCTTTGTAATGTAACTGTCACTTTTCCTTCTATGTAGTTATTTTGTAAGTCAAGCAACAAAGTTTTGTATCGGTCGTTATTTTGTCAGCTTATTCAAAACGTTGTTATACATACTGTACACGTAAACTATGACGTCATCGAATCTCGTAAATCAGCATTACAATTCTTCGAACTTCTATTTTTTCTCTCTGTATCATTCACAAACTCAGGTAAACAGTAAAACGTCGAAAAGTTTACGATCACATATTGTGTACAATTTAAATGGACATTTAAACAAGTCGGAACAGGATGGAACGTTATTTATTGTTCAGTTTTACTGTAAGCAGTATTTGATTACTTTTTTTAAAATTTCAAGGTGGCAAACGAGCAAGCGGCCACCTGAAACCGCCGAAATGGCGAAGCGACCGCTGCCCATAGGCATCTGTAATTGCAGATGCGTTGCCTACCCTTAATCGACGGTGGGGAAGACGCACATAAAGAGGATATCTCCTCTTCCTATGCGTCTCCTCCACCGTCAAATCCACTTTTCCTTCCCATCCCTCTCTTTCAAGAAAAGGGTGAAAAGAAAAATGGACCAAAATTAGGCCTTCGGCACCACACTCGTCAGACGAAACGCGGAATTGCTACCACTTCAAGCCTTTCTTCTGTGTGGCGGTGGTACTGCTGGGGCGAGCCGGCCGATTCGTGCGAAGATGTTAAAGCGGGCTCTACCACTGTTAAATTAGTTAGTTTGTCGAATTAATCAATTGGATTAAGTGAAATTTAAGATACGTTGTACATACATAGGCTATAATAAAGTTTCCAAAAAAGCATCTTCAAGTCAAAAACATTTATTTTCTAATTAAAACGATGGATAATTCAAACCCACTTTTGGTTAACGACTTTTAAAACCTCTGAGGATAACGTTTTTGTGGATTTATCATAAATCGTGTCCTTCGAAAGATACTTTTTAAAACAAGCAAAGTTTATTTTATTATTCAATAAACTTCACATTAAGTTGAGTACTTTTATCTAATCTCAATTTAATTTATAGTGTTTTAAACTTAAGAATCGGAGTAACTTATAATTAAGTGCTAATTAAACAAAACTAATTCAATTTTATTTTTTATACGTTCATTTCTCTTAAATTTTTTAAAAGGGGCAATTAAAAAATAATAAAAAAATCTAAACAAACTTAAACCATAAAAAGCCTCAATATTTTGTCACTCCAATACGAAATCCGGAAAATAATACAAATAAAAAAGACTAAATTCGTAGAATTATTTGGTCGTTTATGAGAGTTTTAAGAGAGGACTTAAGACAAGTCTGTACGTTACACTCCGGTGTCGCCCTCTTGCGGATCAAGTGGCCGACCCAGTGACAGGCGACTACGCTCCACTGACGCCGGCAGCCCCACTTGCTCAGAGCCCTAAACACTTCCTCACCGTCTACATTACAATCTCTGCTCTATTTGATGGCATGCTTTCGCTCATACATATCCTTGATGATATTAGAAATTGTTTTATTACATTTTATGAGCTTTCACCTATTTATTTAAGTTTTAAAACACTATTTATTTATGTTAATATATGTTACTAATATTATAAATGCGAAAGTTTCAATGGATGGATGTTTGTTAGAATTTGTAGCCTAAACTGCTGAACGGAACTCGACAAAATTTCGCACAGATGTAGCGGATAGTCTAGCGGTAGAAGAACACATAGGCTAGACATACTTTGTTTTTTTTTTAATTTGCGCGGACAGAGTAGCGGGCGAAAGCTAATATAAAAAAACACTTACCCGTGTTCTCAATATTCCTTAATTATTTATCTTAATAGTTATAACACTTTACTATTTATGGTTAAGGAATATTGCATCGTTTAAAACTATTTACTAAAAGAATGTCTTTGAGTGGAAACTACCGTAACATTACTTTCAATTTCTGTTAAGGCACGTATTCCAGAAATATGACTAATTAAATTTTTGGTAAAGTATAAGTAAATAAATTGCTACATAAAAAAGTGTTTCTAAAGGCATTCGAGTTTCTAGTCCACAAGAGTTAACTACATTTAAAATAGAATTTAATATATCCATAAACTTATACTTAAAGTATGAAAAAAATATGTTTTAGTACAAACAAATTCAGCAACACTGACATAAATCATACTTCCGGATAAAACTAATTTCTTACTCATAGAGTTACGCATTGTTATTAAAACTAAGACAAAAGGGGATTCACTATCTCCGTAATAATAATAACATAAGAATGCGCGGACGCAAGTAACAACAGACGCTCGGAGGGGTCGTAATCAACTATAATTCCGAGTATTTCCCCCGGCGATAACACGCTCGTACCTGCCGAGCTTTTGCTATCGTACCTTGCGTATAATGCGAGTAATTTAAGGAGTCACATTTAATATTTCATTTCTGGTATTATACTGTTGAAAAATTCTTTTTCTACTTGTTAGAATCTATACTCATATACACGTATTTGAACACAATTTAACTAACAATTTCCAGATTCTAACAAAACTGTTAACTATAAAAGAATTTTACTCGGACAGACGAAACAGATAAAATACTAAAAACAAATCACAAAAACTATGCGGCAATGAAAAATCATTGAGAATAGTCGAAGTTTGATTATTGATTACGTAAATTTCCTGTTTCTATTAAGGTTGAACTATAGAAAGAGTGTTTGACCATGAAAGTTTTTACAGCAAAGTGTATCACCTGCCAAACGTTAAGGACGTTAATTGATACAAAACTACGACCAAAGACCGTCACGAATGAATAGACTTGCTTATATTTACATCACTAATTCCACTTTTACTACGTAACAAATCAATTGCTGCGGTTTCAATTTTTTTTAATCAATTCTCTATTGTTAAACTTCCTGTAAATGTTAATTTCTGTTGTAATAAGTCTGAATTGCGAGTTTGAAAATTACATTACATTATGTTAAAGACATATTCCTTACTTATTACAATCAAGTGTAAATTATTTACACATGTAAGAGATACAAGCCGTAGCCACCGCGGTGTTAAAGTCATATTTTATTCAGCAAAACAAAACGTTTAAAAAGTTATCCAATTTCTTTTTAAAATTAATACAATACAATAGTAAGAAAAGTATACGTATATACAATAATATACGTATCATTGTATTTGACTAAATAATTGAAGTAAAATAATGCACAATGACCGTATCTAATGTAAAAAAAACATTCAAACAAAATATCCAATCTAAACATTCAGGCAAGTGTTCTCTGATTTTAAACACAGAATTGCAAATATCTCTAACAAAAACAATAATCCCCCTCCCCACTCTTTTGAAAATAACGGCTGTTAACTTGTAGTAAGGACAAGAAAGAGGAGCAATAGGAAAAGAAACGACCTTCTGAAATCGGTCGGTTAACAATGGCGTCGGGTGAGTGCAGAATATGACGGGGCGCCACTCGCGCGCGCACCGCGGACCAAACCGCTACCAAACACACACACTAACGGTTCAATTTCAAATTTTTATTTTAAATTGATCTCATGTGACAGTGAAAAGGATTCTTAAAGGATTTTGTGCATATTGTGATCGGTGTTACTTATATTGCAGGTTTGTGGAAACATCTTTTTTTTTTCGTTTAGTCCTTAAGAGGTCCGCTTTCGTGTTTTATTGCGAACGGCTCCTTGATGACGCGAGATGATAATATGTGGTGCTATTCCTAAAACTTGCAATGGAAATATACAAAAAACTGAAACTAGAATAAATTAAAAGTGAATGGCACTCTTAATCGATATATCGAAGAAAAATTTCATTTTTTTTTCGATTCAATAAAAACATGGAATTTAACCTTTCAAGTTTAAATTAACCTTTAACAATAGTGCTAATAAGTAAAACTGTAGTTTTATAAAAATAAAACAAGTAATTTTAAGACAGTGCGAACTTTCAACGTCTTTGGAAAAGACTTCAACGAGACATGAGCGACGAGATTCTCGTAGTTGTTAACTTTGATGACAAATTAAAGCATTTTCTTGAGGTTTGCAAACATTAATAAAATTATTGTTTAAAATGATAATTTTTACTTTGACCTTTTTTATTTAATATGCCAATTACAAAATATTTATACATCCATATTAAAAGATTTTTGCAACAACTCCTTAAAAATAAATTCAACAAACCCATTGAAACTAACACAAATTGGTAAAAAAGATGCAATATCAGAAACAACAAAAAGGGAATTGTAAAGTTGATCTTTTGAATTGCATTTTTTACTTCTTTGTCTGGGAAAGGCTACCTGCTCCGGCCGACGTTATTTACATTTCCGGCAGGACTTGAGACGCGAAACAACTATATAAAAAATGTCTACAATAATCTAAAATTTAAATATAAAACATCGGCCGCTTTTAATATAAATTACTTGTACCAGTACTTATCGAAGTAATTTTACCTTAATATCGCCGTAATATCGTTTTGTATGAATTTCCGATATACAAACACAATAGATAATTTAAAACGATTTTATCTGATGTCATTGCTTTTGCCATTATTACTGGAATGTTTGAAAACAATGCATTTAGACTTTCATATTGCCTTTTTTTCTATTTTGCGCGATTCTTGTACATCTCTCTATAACATTCATTACGGATATTATAAAATATACGTACTTACACTAATAAGTGATTTGAGAAGTTGAAGATAATAAGGTTCGTAACTTTCAAAAAGACAAATAACAAGGCCAAGGCGGGTCTAAATCTGTAACAGAAACGAAATCGTAACTAATGAAAGAAAAGTTAATGGTTACATTTTAATTCATTATCGCCTGATTGCATTCTTAGAGAAGATTTTTGCTATATTCGCGAGTTTTATATTATAAAAATTTCTTGTCTATTAATAAAGAGAACAATTCATAATATAACAGTAGCTCAATTGTATAATTTACAATAACAAATATTATAAATACGATATACAAACAACGTGACCAATAAACACGTTTGCGGACATGTTCCTTTGAATAGTCATGACACATGACATTAATATATACAATAAACATAAGCCACAAATTATTATTTATCTAAACTTGAGAGAGAATAATCTATCCGTACACTTAAGTAACATATTACGATAAATGATTTACTCGTATTATTGATATAATAATTACAAAATTAACAAAAAAAAAAAAACAATTACAATTATTTGTTAATAGTTGACGTAATTTTTGGTAATTTTAGATTAAGTTATAGTCAAAAACGTACGTTTCATAAATCCGCACAATCTCTATTTCATAACCTTACACATAATCACGTACAAGTGTCATCGAGCAATATTTATTAGCGAAACGGGAAAATATTGATAAAATTGGAAAAAACGTAACATACAAATAATGTTTATTAAATAAAGCAATTGTTTATTACGTCAATATTTCAAAGCCAAAGTACGTGACATGTATCAAGAGGAAATAAAGCCAGTTTCCCTTAAATCTGCCTGAAATTGTTTTCTACGTAATTGCTATTAAAAACAAAAGACTGTAAATGCATCTGCATACTTACACCTTTCTACAAATACATACAGCGTTATATTTACATAATATTATTATGTAATTGATGTCACTTGACCGGGGGCCGGGGGACGCGGGCCGCGGTGAGGCGGTCAAAGGCCGCTTTCATGAAAGGCAGACGTGACATCAGCAAGGCATTCAAACCATTCTTTTTATCTTAATTATTTTCACTTTTGTTATTTAATGTACGCAATAACACTGATTTTTCTATTGTGCGTTGAAATAATTGGATTGCATCACAGATGATATTTCTTTACGAATTCACTTAATGGGAATTTATAATAGAATATTTTTAAGTTGTAAGCTCTATTAATTGTGTTTTTTAGTTTTGTCAAATTATATTACACTAGCTTTTGCCCGCGTCTCCGTCCGCGTGAGGTTCAAAAAAACCAAAACTTAGTAGCCTATATGTTCTTTCACGCTATCCTCTACTTCTATGGCAAATTTCATCGAGATCCGTTTATCCATTTAGGCTACAAACTCTTACAAACATCCATCCATCTAAACTTTCGCATTTATAATATTAGTAAGAAGTAAGATTAATAAGATATAATAAATGTAATGAAATAAGAGTAATGTCTCTAGAAACGCGCACCTTATCAATATCATTGACAAGCAAACCGCTTTAAAATAAAAATAATAACGTTTCCCCTAACAATATACATCACAGTGAACTTGCAAAGCTCCCGTCATTGACAAAACAGTTACATAGTTACGAGCATAATTAAAAAGGGCCATAAAATTTGTTACGTTTATATAGTTTATTTGGTAATATAACAGAGTTTATAATAATTTTATGCGCGTAGTAAGATCTCTTTATCGCCGTTACTTTTGGTTCTGACGGTTTCCGGTGTTTCCAGCGTGCCGCGCGAACAAAATTGTTTTAGAAAACTTAAAAAAAACAAGTTATGACTAAATATTTAATATCCGACTTCACTGTGTAAACTATAACAAGATCAGTATTTTGACTTAAGTTTTAGCCACCTTATTATTTAGTTTGCGAAATACGGGTTCGTAAATATTTAAGTTCTTCGACGCCAGCCAATACAAATACTCGTATAATCGGCTCCCCTGTTTTATTTACTAACAACTTACTTGTCTTTTTTGGAAATTTTAATTAAACAAGGACAACAGGATGTAGGTAGTAGTGGAGGGAGTGAGAGGGAATGTGCACGCGTTAACGTAGTAGGAGTGGTGCAGTATGCGTTTTTGCCAGGCATTGCTACGTATGGGATAAGTTACTAGAGGTTAGCGGGCGCAACTTAAAAAACGAGCAATAATATTGTTTAGATGAGTTAAGGAATTTAGTAAGAAATATTGATATCGATGATGAGAGGTTTTTGGAACCGTACCAGTGCAATCTATCTATTTATTATACATATTAGTCTATATATATATAGTAAATAATCGTGTTCTTGTTATGAATACAAGAAGACTACGGCCAATCCACCGAGTCTAACGGCTGAGACAAACAAAACCCGCTTTTCACGCCACTGGCTGCCTGAGAAGAATTACTCTTATACGCTACTCTTATCGCCTCCGCTTATCACTTGGTAGTCAGTGTTAGACAAAAGCGTTCGCCAGTCGGCCTTCGCGGACCGGTCCCGGCCGCTTACTTTCGCGTTGCACCTCCACAGCCGAGGTATTTCGGACAAACGCAACTATTTGCCGCGCACACTTGCAGAGCCGACTAACGCCTAATGACTCCAAATCATATTACTAAACAGCGCTGCGTAACTCAGCTCACAGCTTTCGATACTGCTAACGTATTGCAAATATTGACTCAAGTTTCATTCTATGTTTAAACAAACATTATAACATCAGGTAGCAAAGTTTACCTAAATTATTACAAACAGTCACTTGAAGTCCGCTCATTTATTTATGTTTCTTTATTAACGCCCAAAAATACCTAAGATGTTCATATAATACAACTTTTTAAGTCGATGTTTAAAAGCAAATAAGTCATCAATATGAACGTAGTCATCACCTTGATACGAAACTTAAACACACGTAAACATGTAATAATTGATTGTCCATACAAAATCATGTGCAGCTATCATAAGCAAGTCACATGCCTTTACGTAAGACTTATATGATTTATTTCAACATAATTCCCATGTGGTGCTGCAGTTATAGATTTATTCATTGGATTTTCGCATCATTGATGTTATATTTTAATTGCTTGGCATTTAATTTCTTATCAATGTTTATTGTTTTAATGCTTATTGCTTTTAACTGTATTGGTTTAAAAAAAATTTTTACTATAGGCTTTGTTAGCCTCGACAATATCGTCGAAAAAATTCAATCTAAATTGATTAAAATGGTATCCTAAATCAATATTTTACATTGAACTAGGTGTTGTAGACTTCATTAGCGTGGAATTAAAAATTACTCTGTGATAAAATAGCTATTAAATGATGCAAGAATTTTTGACTTCGGTCAGTGGTTTTTGAGTTTCCCCTTTAAAATATTAGTATAGATAAACAATGTTTCGCACAAATTATACGACAATTACAGACAGACAAAGATACCGAAAATCTTAAATATGTCAATTACAAATCGAATTAATCAATTAAAATAAGCTTGCTTTCCCATTACTGTATCCCAAATCAACCTAGAAATAGACACATGAATAGCTCAGACTATTAAATAACTGAATATGATATTCGAATTATTGCGTAATAGAGTTTTCGGTAACCGGTGTGAGGTAGCGACTGTCGACCAGTGGGTCAACAATTCGTAACGAGGCCGTCATCTTGGCGCGCGGGTCGACATTTACATTCGATGGATGGTGCGAGGTCCTCTGCGTGCTCTTTATTTTGGCACGTGATCACGTGGAAACTTACTACAAAATTGTCAATATCATCAGTAAATACTGCTATACGTGTTTATATTATTTTCATATGCTCGTTTAACTCAACTAAGATTTTTGTAGGTCGTTCTAGACGACGAACTTAGGCACTAGAAACTAAGGGCTCACTTTAATGTAGACTTTGCCCCTCAGTGGGGACGTATAGTGAGTGAGTGACTGTTGTTAAAGTCTTATTAGCTATAGACTTTTCAATTGGTTTTGATCATTGAATATTCGTGTTTGTTATCTTCACATAATTATTTATTTGCAAACATTTATTTCGTATGTATATAATCAAAGTTAAATGTTACAACACTTTGAAATTAAGATGTTAAATTACACACACTCTAACCATAAACCAATAATACGCGCAATTAAATCAACTATTCGAAAAAGAATTTTAAATTTAGGTCAAGGAAATGTTTTTTAAAAAAAAATACCTCAGAAAACAACCTTCGTACTGCAATTATCTTACAACTAATATCATATAAAAACGAGGCGTTTTCATTTGATGCAATACCACCTTTTAAATATGAAAAGAGCGCCTTACATTAATGATAATCATCCAATCCATAACCGTCTGTTTTTATGTTAATAATACGTCCAACGTAAAATGTCATAAGTTACATCATGTAGCAGACCATTCCAGACTTATCGGGCGAAGATGAAAAAATTCAAGCAAAACTGAATCTTAACTTATAAAGAGTAAGGTTGAAGATTGTTTATCGATTTATATGCAATCGTTATTTACGACATGTCAGCGAAAGTATGAATTAGTAGGAAATTAGTGCATCCATCCGCAATACAGATGCGACGTAAACAAATCATGATTATAGTTCTATTGGATAATGAACCCCAAGACTGGTATCTTATTGAATGTTAAGCATGATAGCTTCTTGATGATCATAAGTATAGCCGGTCCATGAAAAAAGGGCGCCTTTGAAACATTTTATGCTTTTTGTAGCTGATCTGGTCATCATTAAACTGAGACATAAACAATCAATTACAAAAAAAAAATATTATAAATGCGAAAGTTTAGATTGATGATTGTTAGAGTTTGTAGCCTAAACGGTTGAACGAATTTTGATGAAAATTGGTGTAGTTGTAGTCTGGAAAAACACATAAGATAATTACTTCTATTGTTATTAATTCAACGCGGGCGGAGTCGCGATCATAACTAGTATTATTATAAAATAATGATAACGAACACAATAAGGTGATTTAGTTTACGAAAGTTGTTACAGAACCAAATTAGGCAGGAAGGTGGAAGGACCAATATGGGCGGGTATACTTTAAATGTATTAAAAGAATCTTTCTTTCCCATTGTAAAGCCTCTATAATAAATAGTTTACGTTACTATACGCCGTCGGTTGCGTACATATATCCTAAAACAACTATTCCTAAGCTTTGAATGATAAGAAACAGGTTACGAGAGGACGGTGTTTACGACAAAACATACAAATGGTCATAAATGATCTCTCGAGGCGACATTATTAAAACATGTTTAAATAAATTGGCAGATTTTATCACGTTAACGTTGGGAATATTTCCATTCTGCATATTAATATTGTTTGCATTCAAACAGGTGGAGATGACACTTTTGAATGCGACAGGGCTGCCAACGTTAAAATTTTAATGTGAGACTTCCCTCAAATTTTTATCATTAACTAATTAAAAAAAAATACAGACTATTTTTATTATTTCTATGGGAAACTCACTTATTTTTTTACAATTTAATGTTAGTGTTTAAGTCTAAATTTCCCAGTAACGTTTCCGATGGCAAATAATTTTAGTTACTGCCAATTTTTTTAAATAAATCAATAAGCCATGACGCATGTAATCAATTTTGATGATACGGGCCATAGTTTAAAACTTCTGTCTAATCGATCCTATGTGACCTCTAACATTATCAAACTTATTTATGAAAAGAACAAAAATACTCTGATAACGAAAATGTATAAATTGCGGCTCGCATGTTATTTTTTCCTCTACTTCACTATTCCCATCCTTACATCACCGATAATGTTTTAAAATCGTGCATTCAGTAATATACGAGTAGTACTAGTATAATCTAAGCTGCGATTACGTTTTTGCCCTTTAAGGCCAACCAGCGCCTAAAGTATTCTTCTTAAACTAAACTATCGCACAATTTCTTAATCTCGATTTGATTTATGTCAGCTTACGAGTATGTGGAGGTGCAAACACTACTCGATTTTTGGTTGTGCAACTAAACAGTTGAATGGGCTGCGAAACAATCGACAATCGCACAACTGTTTTGCTATAGTTTAGTTAAATGTGTCCCTTCAGATATATGTCTTTTTGGTTAATTACTTAAGTGACACTTCAACGTTGATGAAAACGAAATTATTAAGAACTAAGGGACAAATTTAAAGAAAGGTTGGTGAAAATCGCCATTAGCGATTTATTTTTGTCAATATGACTGGCAAAAGGTCTTACAAAATTAGCGTTATCTTACTTTTTCTCATAAAGAATGATAGAGATGACAATATGACTGTTACTATGGAACGCTAACACTAAGGAAGACAGTGATCAACGATTGTCAGTTGTCTCGGTCTGAGCGCACATCTCGCTTCCTTCATTAGTTATGTGATAATTGCGCCGTTCGTGTCCAACGCCAGTGTTAATTTCAATACGGAACGATATCAATAAAAAATATGGTGTTCGTAACTTTAATTAGGAATAAGTACTCATGTTACATTTCATTTAACCTCGGTATTAATAATCTTACTAATACTAATATTATAAATGCAAAAGTTTAGATAGATGGATGTTTGTTAGAGTTTATAACCTAAACGGCTTAACGGATTTTGATAAAATTTGGTACAGATGTAGAGGATTGTCTGGAAGAACACATAGACTACTCACTTTTGTTTTCTTTTAATACCCCGCGGACGAAGTGGCGGGCAAAAGCTAGTTAAAACATACAATAGAATATAAAAAATAAAATATCAGGCAATCGATCGACCAGTTTCAATTATACCGTAGAGAAGTAAAATTAAAAGTCTAACAAAATCTTTATTTCATATCTATCAAAATATGTAAACCTAGTAAATATGCTAAAAACTATGTTCAACTGTAGGTAGCGGTGTTTAAAGAAAAGTATTCAGTGCAACGCCCAGCAGAGCTAGATCGAGTTATTGCGACAAGGTTGTATTACCAAACCACCGACTTGCTTGAATGAATTGTACATTATTAGCGTAATATTAAAAGAGAGTTCGCTTTAGAAGTATTATTTTAAGAAGTCCAAGATAAGGCTTTAAGTCTTAATAATTTGTAATAAGCTACTTTTTTCATCTTAATATTGCATGGACGAAGTCACGGGCAACAGTTAGTTACAAGTATAATCTTATCAACAACTTTTTTTTCTTTCCAGATCATATTCGGAGCTACCGGTGACTGCTATAAGTGACAAGTAAACATTTAATATCGAAATAATCGAACACTCAACTTTCGCCATGTGTCTGTGCGAATAGGGTTGTGAAACTGCACACAAACTATTCACTGCCGAAACTGTTACCAATTGACTTAGTGAAGTGTCTTAGTGTAACAACATTGGGCCACGCTCTTAGACTAGGCGGTTTATTCTTGGTAAGTTTATTTTCATATTTGTCTACATTTTAACGAACGACTCTACGTATTTTAAAATAAGCATTCTTTAACAATCGGCGTGGGTTTTGTATTCGGTCAACTCTACCTTTGAAATCTTCCTACATCCCTGAATATGACCTTGTAGAATAAGTGGGATGCGCCTATAATCGTCATTCATTGTCTCCCAAACACGTTAAACAATAAACAATTTAATTAGCATTATTAGTGATAAAATTTCTAAGCCATCTTACTTCATAATAATATTATAAATGCGCAAGTTTAGATGTATGGATAGATGGGTGTTTGTTAGAGTTTGTAGCCTAAACGGCTGAACGGATTTCGATGAAATTTGGCATAGATGTAGAGGATAGTCTGGAAAAACACATAGGCTATTCACTTTTGTTTTTTTAATTCCACGCGGACGGGTATCGCGGGCGAAAGCTAGTTTCTCATAAAGTGATTTGTCAGATTCTCAAAAGTCTAGGAACTAAAAATGCAACTAAAGCCAGAGCTAAAGTCGTTTGATTTTTTTAATGAATTTAAAGCGGGTAGCATTTGTTTATTGTCATCTAAAATATTCAGTTAACATTTTCATAGAGTCTACCGATTTTTTTGAGTAATCAAACAGTATGTTATCAAGGCTTTCATTTCAACAATGGTCAAGTTATAGTGACCTTGCTCCGCTTGTCATGGTGTCATAGAATAACATCGAACACGACCACACAAATTGCTGGCTCATTAACTTACAATCTGTTCCAATGTCACCGGATTTCGTGATCAACATTTTTATTCATACCGTACTAAGTATTTAATGTGCATTTTATTTCTCTAAATATTTGCATGTAAATTTTGAAAACCCATCATCCCTTTGGCTTTAACCCTCACATGAAGATTCGACGGACAAGAATTTACAAACCTTTATGTTTCGACTTTATTAGTTTAACACAACTATTATGATCCTGACAGTATCTAATAATTTACTAATTTCTTACTGCTTCGAAAAGATTTTAAAGTAAAACTTATTTTTCATTTTCTATGCGCGATTCAACCTTCGAAAGTCGTGACTTGTACTGCATTAATATGAAGTTGCTTTTCCGGGTTAAGAAACGGTAGAGTTCTTTATCTTTTTAACTAAGTCTTAGAGAGTGATAGCTGAATATACGTCACCTACTCAACACATGTATTTACTGACAACAAAAAATACAATGAGACTTTTAAAGAAGTCCCAGTAAAAGGTAATTTTCACATCCAACTAACTTAGATAAAAAAATAGCAGTAAATTTTTATCGGTCATATAAAATTTAATAAAAAAAGAGTACTCTTGCGTTTAATAGCCCTAATCACTTAAGAAACGAATCGACAAAAATCGATGTAACTTTCTCTATACAGAATCGCTGAACTCTACATTACATACAAGTGTTCATTTATCTGAAATTAGATCGCAATTTCGATTAAAACAACATCGTTGCGATAAAACGTAATAACGGCGTACAATCGCCTCTTTCACTTATCAACTGTAACGATTCTATTTGTCACGTAACTGATACCTGATTAATTATTTTGTGCTCTAATAAAATGTAGTAAAGTATCTTTTTGATTGCATCCCTTAACACTTTAATGGATATAGTATAATGGTTACCGCGAATCAAAGCCGGATGATGATTGTGACATTGGAAGACAGATTGATGATACTAATTTAGTACTAGTTAGCTCCCACGCGATCAATGTAGTTGTCACCATCGCGTGATGGTGCTGCTTCAGCTGACATCCGCTGTGGCCTTGGGGAACAATGGCAAAGGTCTAGAACGTGGGAAGGTTTGTTTTCTTTATCATAATACGCCATTTCGCGGTAACATCATATATGCTTTGTACTAGCTTGTTGTAAACATGCAATAAGGTTGCAAATTGATAGTAACAACTATCAATTTATTAGGTTTCTACACGAGCTCGTAGTTACACATCTTCAATATTAAAGTTGGTTTACACGCCTCGAATAGATTAAGTACCTATCTCGTGAATCTTCGAAATAAAATGTTTTGTTAATAAATGCTTACAGAAGGACAGTAATTTATCCTAATGTTATATAAAAAATAAACCTCTAGACACTCAAAACAAGAAAGACTTTTGCAAACTTGAAATGAAATACACACGACCGCAGATTGGTTGATTAAATTGCAATTACAAAGAAACCACAACACTTTTCAATGTACCAGTTCATTGCATTTAATACGTCACAAAGATCTATTCACGTCTGTTAATAGTGAATTATATTTTTACCTTGACAAAAACTGCAAGCAAGAGAACGTGATCAGCGAACTAACGGGCGCAGAAACATTTACGAGCAGAACTCGGAGCAGATTGCTGGACTGACAAAAAATATATGAAAGTAATAGTCGCGGAGCACAGGTGAATGCTCCCCACTCAAATGTTGAATTACCAAAGTTAGCTATCAATAAAAGATAACAATAATTTATAACTTTAGTATCGGCATCGAGGGCCGACAGTGAGAGACCAAACGAAACAAATTCTTAATTAATTTCATAGTTCACTTCCTATTCATCTCCCAACCTAAGAATTCGTTGTGCAAACATTGCTTCACCGGAGTCGAGCACCCTGAAATCATAATTGTCATAGATGACGCAACTAAACACCGCAACATTTCCTTTTTAACTGCTAACAAAATAATTCCATAATTAATAACATTCAACCCCTAACTTACTACAGATTCAGACTATTTCTATTTAAAATTCGATTTTTTATTTAAGATTCGCGTAAATAAATATATTGTTACGACCGTGCCAAGCCTGCGAGCTAATTAAGGGCGTAGTTTAAACCACGAAATTTTTTTTTCATAGTTTTAATAAGGCACAAACAATAACATTGTTTTAAAGCTTTTTATTTGTTGAAGAGTGAATTTAGAAATCCCCGTGTTAGATATCAAGTAAACAAGATGAGGTGTAGTCTTTTATCGGCTTCATTGTGTCGTGATGACACACCTCACACGAAAGCTGAACTTGTCGGGGCAAGTGAATGCACTTACGGCCTGACTTAGCCGCCGTGTCTCGCCGTGGGACCGCCGGAGAAAGTACAGGGTGTTACACCTATGTTGTTTTGTTAGTAATCTTGATGAAGCTTTTATGTTTGTAGCAACGAGTAGATCGTAAACACAATTCTATACTCTAAATCCTGCACTCTAAATAATCTCAATAATTTATCGTAGAATATGATTTTCATACTAACTATATCTACCCTGAACGTGACCCTGAGTGACCGTTTAACGATCCAGAGAAGTAATTGATAGATTACTTGCAGTTATAAAGCAAAGGTAATGGCAACAATGCGAAGATTTGCAGTACTCAGGCGCAAAAAGCGCGAGGCGGGGAGGGGACGCGCGGGGGCAGAGACCGCACGATGCCGTGGAAAGCTCGCCGACCCACATCCAGCCGCGGACCTGTTCCCCGCTTTACATAACACCTACTCTCGCTGCCTGCAGCCCGCGCCCTGCGCTCTGCACCATACGGCTTGATTACACTCAATTGCATTGTTTGCCATATCTTTTATTACATAAATTCGAAAGTTAAGGACAATTTTTATCACAGATTATGCAATACTTTTTTTGGGCATTGGAACTTATCACAGATATTATCAGCCAGTTACATGAGTGTATGAAATTTCAATAAACTTACAAAGAGTTGCAAATCCCCTAGTTTAATCTTGTGCCAGAAATGATTTTAGCAAATTTCAAAATACATTCAAGTAGAATACGAGAAGTAGAATATTTTCAAAACCGCTTAAATACTTTAATAATAGCACATTGTTGCACATTTTACTAGCAGTTTTCAAAGCAAAATAATGAAAGGAGACAACAAAACGATTAGCTACGTGGACGTCAGCCGGCAAATCGAATCCAGTCTCACCGCTTTGACAGTGTAGCGATACCGCAGCTATAAGCAATTTGTACGGCCGATGTCCACAGACGTTGACCTCGTGACGTGATATTACCGATTTTGTACCCTTCAATCAGCTGTACAAGTAAAACGAACAACATTGTCTCTCCATCATCTTCTACCAAAGCGTAGTCTAGACTAGATTGCAGTCTCTGTAAAAACTGTGTTGCAAATGAACTGTATAAGTATGCTGTACAAAAGAAGAAGTGACTTCTGTACGTGTGAAAGTGAGTTCTGAAACTGTCAAAATAAGCCCTATTAAGACTAAAGAATAACAATTAGTTTGTCGTTAATAAAAATCTGAATATAAAAGTATTTTCTTGATTGTTTACGTATTTTTTACACAATTAAAAGAGGAAGGAAACATATCAATTATAATTTCAATGCTAACAAGTGACTCGAAAAGCGATTAAATCAGTAACATCAATAACAAATCGGTAAAAGGTATCATTTAAAAGTAATGTATTGAAGGAAATTTCCACATAGAGAATGTTTTATTGCTGATAAACAAGTTTCGTTATAATCTAAGCTCAGTATTTCAAATACAGAACAATCTCATAAATAGTCTCGGATACCAGGACATCAGAAAGTAGTCATTAGTAATTCTTACATACTGAATAAGGCACGACGGCTTTCGTAGTCGCGTCGTATTGTCAGCCAAGCTGTCTGCACAGACAACACTAATCAATATTTCAATCTTGATCCTTAGTCAAAGACAATTTAGAGAGTTCCACAGCACCAAGATTACAATAACAAATGACATTCAACGTTGTTTGAATAGTTCAAAGTTTTTATAAAGCAATTATATCGAGATCGTAAGTGTGCAAAATTATGATCAATAAGTGGAAAGCAACAAGAACACAAATTATCTTTGCGTATATTTAGGATGCCTTATTCATTAGCAAGGTTACTATAAAAACTACGAAACTATGATCGTGTTAAAATCGTGCCCCTCAAGACTACAAATTTATTCCATAAATCATTATCAATTGTCCCTTCACGTATAAATGATGAAGGTATAATGAACTTTTAAATTCATATAGCATCAGTGTT